ATTTTATTCTTATTCTAAACATATTTCTTAGATTTTATAAATATCATTTTTTAAAACTATAAAAGAAGGATGTTAAAATATATAGGAATCTCATATTATAATAAGATGATAGAGAGAAATTATCAAATAATAATTTATGAATACATAAATCTATATAATTATTCTTATATTTATGATACTATTTTGAATAATATTCTTGATTTATAATTATTAATTAATATAAAATCTTAGAGTATGAAGTTTATCATTAGTAATAGTACATTTATATAGTATAATTATTTTTTTTGGAGTTATTAAAAGCTAATTAGTTAATTTCGAGTGGTAAGATTGAGTTAAGATAGAATAGGAATTGATAAATTAATTTAAAGGTTTTTGGTTATGAAATAGGAGTAAATGACAATTAGAAAGGTTGTTATTATATTAAGTATTTATGTTCTGATTTGAAGATTTAATTTAAATAAATTAATTATGATACGAGGATATACATCCGTATTGAGAAAATCACTTTGGTATTTACCATCAATGGGATTCTCAAAGAAATTGGGTATTGGAGAAGCATCCAGTGTATTAGAAGATAAAATTAAAAATATTTCCTAATTGGTAAAGGATTATAGTGATAAATTAGAATGACATCAAAGAATATGGTACAGTTATCTCTATTGGTGATGGTATTGCTAGAGTTTTTGGATTGACATAAGTTTAAGCAGGAGAAATGGTTGAATTCAGTTCAGGAGTAAGAGGTATGGCCTTGAATTTGGAAACAGATAATGTGGGTATTGTCGTGTTGGGTAATGACAGGTAATTCATTTTAATTCATTTATTCTAGAGATATCTAAGAAGGAGATATTGTCAAAAGAACAGGAGCTATTGTCGATGTCCCTATTGGAATGGAAATGTTGGGAAGAGTATTTGATGCTCTTGGTAATCCAATTGATGGACATGGTCCAGTCAAAACAAATGCAAGAAGAAGAGTTGAATTAAAAGCACCAGGAATTATTCCAAGAAAGAGTGTCCATGAACCAATGTAAACAGGATTAAAGGCTGTTGATTGTTTGGTTCCAATTGGAAGAGGATAAAGAGAATTGATTATTGGTGATAGATAAACAGGAAAGACTGCTATTGCTATTGATACAATTATCAATTAAAAACCAAACTTTGATTCTGGTGACAAGAATAAATAATTATATTGCATTTACGTTGCTATTGGTTAAAAGAGATCAACTGTTGCTAACTTAGTCAAAATTCTTACATAAGCTGGTGCTATGAAATATACAATTGTGGTTGCAGCCACAGCCTCAGAAGCTGCTCCACTTTAATATTTAGCACCATATTCTGGTTGTGCTATTGGAGAATATTTCAGAGATAATGGAATGCATGCTCTTATTATTTATGATGATCTTTCTAAATAAGCCGTTGCTTATAGATAAATGTCATTATTATTGAGAAGACCACCAGGCAGAGAAGCCTATCCAGGTGATGTCTTTTATTTGCATTCCAGATTGTTGGAAAGAGCAGCTAAACTTAATGCTGAAAATGGAAATGGATCCTTAACTGCCTTACCAGTCATTGAAACATAAGCTGGTGATGTCTCAGCCTATATTCCAACCAATGTTATTTCTATTACTGATGGATAAATTTTCTTGGAAACTGAATTGTTCTTTAAGGTATATCATAAATTCAAATTTAATTTAAGGGTATTAGACCAGCTATCAATGTCGGTTTGTCAGTGTCAAGAGTCGGATCAGCTGCTTAAATCAAAGCCATGAAGACAGTTGCTGGTAGACTTAAGTTAGAATTGGCTTAATACAGAGAAGTTGCTGCATTTGCCTAATTTGGTTCAGATTTAGATGCAGCTACCTAATAATTATTAAATAGAGGTGCTTAATTGACTGAATTACTTAAATAAAAATAATACGTAATTATATATAGGAATCATATTATAGGTCCCAATGTGTGCTGAAGAATAAGTTTGTGTCATTTATGCTGGTGTCAGAGGATTTTTGGATAAAGTATAAACTTCAGAAATTGCNTTGCTAGAGTTTTTGGATTGACATAAGTTTAAGCAGGAGAAATGGTTGAATTCAGTTCAGGAGTAAGAGGTATGGCCTTGAATTTGGAAACAGATAATGTGGGTATTGTCGTGTTGGGTAATGACAGGTAATTCATTTTAATTCATTTATTCTAGAGATATCTAAGAAGGAGATATTGTCAAAAGAACAGGAGCTATTGTCGATGTCCCTATTGGAATGGAAATGTTGGGAAGAGTATTTGATGCTCTTGGTAATCCAATTGATGGACATGGTCCAGTCAAAACAAATGCAAGAAGAAGAGTTGAATTAAAAGCACCAGGAATTATTCCAAGAAAGAGTGTCCATGAACCAATGTAAACAGGATTAAAGGCTGTTGATTGTTTGGTTCCAATTGGAAGAGGATAAAGAGAATTGATTATTGGTGATAGATAAACAGGAAAGACTGCTATTGCTATTGATACAATCATCAATTAAAAACCAAATTTTGATTCTGGTGACAAGAATAAATAATTATATTGCATTTACGTTGCTATTGGTTAAAAGAGATCAACTGTTGCTAACTTAGTCAAAATTCTTACATAAGCTGGTGCTATGAAATACACAATTGTAGTTGCAGCCACAGCTTCAGAAGCTGCTCCACTTTAATATTTAGCACCATATTCTGGTTGTGCTATTGGAGAATATTTCAGAGATAATGGAATGCATGCTCTTATTATTTATGATGATCTTTCTAAATAAGCCGTTGCTTATAGATAAATGTCATTATTATTGAGAAGACCACCAGGTAGAGAAGCCTATCCAGGTGATGTCTTTTATTTACATTCCAGATTACTAGAAAGAGCAGCTAAACTTAATGCTGAAAATGGAAATGGATCCTTAACTGCCTTGCCAGTTATTGAAACATAAGCTGGTGATGTCTCAGCTTATATTCCAACCAACGTTATTTCAATTACAGATGGATAAATTTTCTTGGAAACAGAATTGTTCTTTAAGGTAAATTTTTAATATAATATAAATTTAGGGTATTAGACCAGCTATCAATGTCGGTTTGTCTGTGTCAAGAGTCGGTTCAGCTGCTTAAATTAAAGCAATGAAGACAGTTGCTGGTAGACTTAAGTTAGAATTGGCTTAATACAGAGAAGTAGCTGCATTTGCTCAATTTGGTTCAGATTTAGATGCAGCCACATAATAATTATTAAATAGAGGTGCCTAATTAACTGAATTACTTAAATAAAAATAATACGTAAATTTTAATATGTATATAATTTTAGGTACCAATGTGTGCTGAAGAATAAGTTTGTGTTATTTATGCTGGTGTCAGAGGATTTTTGGATAAAGTATAAACTTCAGAAATTGCAAAATTTGAAGAGAAATTCCTCACTCATCTCAGAACAAATTTCCCAGCTATGTTAGAAAGAATTAGAAGGTATTTATTTATTATAATAATAATTTTAGTACTGGTGAATTAAGCAAATAAGATGATGCTGAATTGAAGAGTATCTTAGAAGTCTTCATTCCAGAAGCTGGTCTTGCTATGAAATAATGATAAATAATAATAAAATAAATATTTAAAATCACAATATAAAAGAAATAATTCTAATAAAATAATACATTTTATCAATTTATCATTAACTTTTCCCATTCCACAATAGTTTGTTCAAGATTATCAACACTTTATTATAACCTGTCTTCAGTAAACTTTGACATGATGGACCAAAGTGGTCTTACAATGAATTTGAAAAATCCAACTTCTGATTTGGCCATAATAGGTAACTAAGATTATGATTATCATACTTAATCTAAATCTTTCATATATGGTAATTGAGGATAACCAAATTTGCCTTCTAAACTATATTGTTCCTAAAATTCCATATTTACTCTTGTACTCCATTCTCGACTTAATTTAAATGGTTTAGCTCCACCAGTAAAATCAGAAGTATGAATAATCATACCTGTCATTAATTTAATATCATCTTCAGTTCCAAAATTAAGTTCTTTTATTCTAGCTTCAAAATTTTTCATTAAATTAAAATGTTCTGTTATATCTGTATATAAAATGTTGGAAATAAAGAGTTTACGAAATTCTCTGAATTCAGATGATGTAAAATTAGGAATAATATTTGTTGCAGGAGCACATAACAATTTTATTGAAGTGGCTGCATGATGTTATTCTAAAACACTTCTATCATGATATCTAATAGCTAAATTAGATAAACTATTAATCTCAAATATATTTGTTCTTCCTGTATGAGATACATCATGACACAATCCAGATAAAATCAATGCAAATTTTGTGAATTAACTTAATAAATGTGCATATTAAGTTTTCATTATTTCCAAACTTATAGCATGTGTACATTACATAACTGTTACTCCATGATCATAATTATGAAATTGATTGCCTCTCTTATTATATTTATATTCAAGTGCACATAAAAAACTACATAATGCATCTTCACTTATCTTATAATCTTCAATAAAATTATTTCTTCTTAATATTGAAAATACTACTTTCTATTTCTCTAACCAATCAGCACTATAAGGTAGTATATTAAAATCAAAATTATCAATATTTTCAATACATGTTTCTGTGATCATATCTGGATAAAAATGATTTATTCCTTTAGTTTTTGGTATTAAACGTATACTTTCACTTTCTTAAAGTGAATTTCTTTAATCTAAATGTCTAGGGCTAAAACTTGGACTGAAATTTTTAAATTAAGATTATTTTTAAGTTGCCTTAGGTTTAAACATTTACACTACAGAATTTTTTAATTATGGATGTTTTTATTCTAATTTATCTAAATATTAATTAGTTTCTTATTAAAGAAAACTCTTTCTTAATTTTTACCATTAATTTGCATCAAGTGATTTTTAATTATATCTAAACCATCCTTATTAAAATATAACAAAAAATCCTTTAAAATATTTTTCTTCCATTTTCATAAATACTTCATATGTTGAATTACTATCTGTTAATTTCCATTTATTTTAATCTTATAATTGATTTTCAATATGCTAAATCAAATTCTTATTCTTAAATATACTTGTATAGGATGCATTATAAAATTAAGGATTAAAATTAATATTAAATTCTTCTGCCAATTTACTTGTTATTGGTTATGAAACAAATGTAATTTATCCTTATTTATCAAATTCAAATATCAATGAATCTTGTGATTTTACAAAAAATTTATAAAATGTTGTTCTATCATAACATTACTTAATAAACTTTAAATATTTATTGAAACTCAAATTAAGTTATTTATAAACATTCATATCTTCCTTTTTATTTAAATCAAAACATATATGAATACTTAAGTTTAAGGAATCTCTAAAATCAAATTCAACAAATGGATGCATACTTATAAAAGATGTATTATCCTTACATACTTTATATCTTTCACTCAAAATGGAAATTGATTTATGAATAAAGAAATATTTAGAACATCTTATAAATGCTATACCTATATCTTGAATCATATGAGATAATTATAATGGATTAAAACATTATACTCTAGCTTATTTAAGAGTTTCAAGTAAAAATTATGCTAATTAATTAACTTCATCAAAAAATTAATATTCATTGCAAAGTGAAAGGAAAGATTCAATAATCATTTTATGTTCTCCTTTAGAATGAAAACAAAATAAACAAGTTGAATTTTATATTTTGAGTAAATAATTTCCTTTGAATTTAGTAGTTTAAAATAATTAAGTTATTTCTGGATAATTTTATGATATCTCAATAACATTACCTTCTAGAATCGATTAAATTTCTAATTACTATTAATCAGTTAAATTTATTTCATTAAATTAACCATTTTCAGAAGTGTAAATTTCATTGTTATATATAAATGATATTTCATCAGCATCAACCAAATTTTTCATAAATGCCCTTAAAACATTATTTAAATGTTCAGTTGATAATTTATCATCCATTAAAAGTATATGGCATCTCAAATAGTCATTAAAATGTTACTGGAATAAAAATAAATAATATTACTTTCATATCCCTATATAGTTATTAAAGATTCTCAATAACTTAATTAGAATCAGTTATATTAGTTACTTATTTCTATGAATTACTAGGTGTTGAAGTTGCTGTTTTAGTAATAAATTCTCCTACTTTCCTAAGCTTTTCATTGATTTCATGGTTTAAATACTTAATAAATAATTTAGTATTATTACAAATTATGAATCAGATTACCATAATGTCATTAGTTGATCATTAAGTTCATCAATCTATGCTATTAATTTTGTCTCATTAAATTAAGATACCCTTGAAAGTGAGTTTCCTCTTCTTCTTTATCTAATGGGACTGTCATTTTCTCCAGAAGATTGATATCTAATCTTGGGTTACGGTTCTATTGTTTGTAAATATTAAAGAATGGCACTCTAGTAATCTTATTCATCATAGATTGTGCATATAAGATTATTCAATTGATACTCTTTAGTAGTCAAATTCACTTTTAATAAATGCTTTTATTTAGATGTAATAAGTCCTTTTTACTCTAGATCATTTATTTAGTTAAAAAACTTAATGTAGTTGCTTAAGTTTTATTTTGGCATAAATTATTATATTATAAAATCACTTCTATTTTTTATCATCTCTAACTGAGAAATCTTTATATTATAATTTATCAATTTCCCTTTCATTTGTTTTGATCATCTTCTCAATTCTAGAATTAAAAATCAATTCAAATACTTGCTTTTTGGAGATCCAACATTAGATAACCAATGAATCCTAATAAAGTTATATAATCAAAAAATTATTTTACATTTCTTCACATTTTTTTTGATCACCTTAAACAACTCCTTTGACTGATCCATCTTTTTAATTTTCAACCCATCCTACTAATCCTAAATTAGTTCCTTATTCTTTTGTAAATTTTCTAAAGTATACTCCTATTATAATTCATGATCTTTATTACCTTATACTTTTCCAATAACCTGAAAATCAAAACTAAAATACTTTTTGATCATTTTAATTTTATGTTATAAATGAATAAAACTGGAACAGGTTTTAAGACACTTAAATTAAGATCATCTCATTCTTTTCGTCCATAGAGTGCTTATTAAGAATAAATAGTGAGTATAATTCCATATGAAATGAGTGAATAAGCATATTAAACTTCACTTAAGATGGATCTATTAAATATTGAAGATGAAATCTCAAAACTAAATAAATTGGGTATTCAATAATCTAGATTGAGTTCAACACATACTTAAAAAATAAAATAATGGATTTCAAATATTAAAATGAATGATAAATGTTTGGATCCTTAAAGAGTTATTCAAATTTGTAATTGTTCTGATGCAAATGAGACTGTTGTTAAATTGTACAATATGATATAAAATTTTGACTTTTATGTCAATAAAATAACAGAACTTTAATGTATACATTATTTATAATACGAATAATGTTTTACTAATTTCTAATCAAATTATTTCTAAAAAATAGCATCTTAAGGAATATTACCAAATAGGTTTTTAATGAGTCTTTTGAATTTAGAAATTATTGAATATTTAGTTTAGAAAAAAGGAGATATGAATCAATCAAATGGTGAAAGTATTTTACAAAAAAAATTGTATGATTTAAAAGATGAGAATATTAAACTATTGAATGAAATCAAATCGTTATAAAGTTAATGTAAAAAATTATAAGATTAATTATCAAATTCAACTACTTTAAGTTAAAGTTAATTGAGTCATATTACAGTTGAATTACCTCCTAATCCTGCATCTTATTATAATAAAATAATTGATGAAGTAAAAGATAGTTATTAGAATCTTATTACTATGTTAAGAGATGTAAATATTTTGAAATTATTATATAGGAAAATCTATAGCTTGGATTGAAATTAAGTGAAGTTCAATAAAAATATACAAATGCTAGTAATGAAATTATAGAATTAAATAAAAAAGTTGATAATATGAAGAATCAAAAAGTGAGATAAAATTTATATAATATAGGATGACTTATATAAAAGATTTGTGGCTAAATACAAAACTACAGAAGAGTTTGAATAATCATATGAAGCTGCTTTAAAGGAAGAATATTCTTCTATGGAAATATCATTCAAATAAAAAATCTAATAGTTATAATAGAGTATTGATCAAAATAATAGAGATTATTAAAAGAAATTGGTAAAAATTATGTTTTAAAATTAAATTAGCTTGAACAAAAATAAATTATAGATTAATATAATGATAGAGAAAGAATGTTAATTAAGAAAATGAGTTTATATTAGAAGCTTTGAATTAATATTTCAATAATTATTTTGATATGTCAATCTTTCTTGCTCTTGTTCTACTAAACGTTACTTCTCTTCTTATTTAATTCTCAAATCCTAGATGTTCACACATCCATATTACTTCAATACGTTTCTTAATTTAATAATCATTCTCAGATTTGGGGACTCTCAAACTCATTAATGCCAACTATGATTTATTTTAAGTGCATAGAGATGATATAGCAATCATAATTTCACAAAAGTATAAAACTGTTTGAATTATTACTAATCCTAATTACATTGGATAATTTAGGGTTGGAATAATATACTGCATCACTTCAAGAGCAAGAGATACAATGGTGATTAACACAAATGAAAATAACTCTGGGAACTTAAGTTAATTCATAATTAATACCTATTCTTTAATATTCCCGCTATATCCATTTGATAAACGAAACCCTTCTAATACAGCCCAAATGAGCAATAATACTAAATTCAATGTATCCATCAAATTTGACTTGACTATCCAAAGCTAAATATGATGAAAGTATAAATTTTACTCTTTGAATATTAATACCTAAAGTGACATACAGGAATAATAAGGAGAAATATGCATTGAAATATAGTAATTTCTATAATAACAAACTAGCAGTAAGTTATGATTCTAGGAAACGAGTTGCTCTAGGACGAGGATATGAAGTCGATCCGTAAATAATGTGTCTTATACTTTGTTTATTATTTTACATATTAAAAAAATGTAATAAGAAGATCTCACTCCATGGTTAATTTAAATGTTACAACCTGTATATCAATAAATTCTAATACTAGTATTCTACCATCTTTGAAACAATGTACTCTGTTGGATTTAAAATATTTGATACAATTATCTTGAAGTAAGGAGAACCTAAATAATGGTTCTACATGGATGATAAAGTAATTCTAATAATAAATTACTAAAGCATTCTATTAAAACACATGATGATGAATGGCTAAAATGGAGAGTTTTTGGAACATATTGTAGAGCCAAGAATGTAAATAGATTAGGTGAATATATTTAATCTGACAACTTGGATTAAGTATAATTATAAACTCCATGTAAATGTGAAGCATTAAAAATTACATGTAAATGTTATATATTCCATTTTGAATAGAAATTAGCATAAGGTAATATCAAATCATTTAATCTTATAGGACGTATTTATAGGGCAGTTTCATAAGAAGTAGCCAATGAACTTTTTAAAAATCCAAATGAAAAATCAGAAATTATTACTAATTGGACTAAAATTATAGGTTGTGGAGTAACAAAATCACCTAAACATATATTTTAAGTAACAGTTTCTAAAGAATAAATTGATGATCAACCTAAATTTAGAGTTAATAGAAAGAGATTTGCTTAAATTCCTTTATAAAAAGAAGAATTCTCTAAATAAGAAAATATAGTCAAGAAACCTATATATCTAAAAGAAGAATTTGATAAATCTTTGGCAGCTCAATAGAATGTGAAATGTGAACATTTTGCTTTTAGTTTGGTTAGATTTTTAGAAGGGAGACTTTAAAGATCTATATAATTACTATAAGTAGAGTTTTTTATGACTGAAGGAGATTTATAAATATATTTAACAGGATTAGATAATATATAATTTCATTCTGATGGAGAACCTGTTGAAATAGCTACTTTATATCCTATTAAATAATAGGTTCATAACTTTGATAAATGTGCTGGTTTGTATTGTCATTATGCAACCAATAATATTTTTTATGATGAATTTGATGAATAATTTTCTTTATTTATAATGGCAGGAGAAAAAGAAACACATAAGAAAATTACATATAAATCTATATTTCTAGATATGATTGAAAGATTTAAAACTATTAAAATGTTAGAACCATATCTTAATAAACCACCAACTGAATAATTGATATTCAAAATGAGAATATGTAATTTATATTATAAATTATAGATTATTCATTAGGAGATATTACAAATAGTGCTTTTTTTAAACATTTGAAAATATCTAATTTTTATAAATAAGAAATAGTTTGTCAATTTTGTTATCATGTTTATAATAAAATTGATTCATTAAGAAATTAATAATTAAAAGATAAGAGAGTAATATTAAATTCTTAATAAATTGAAGCAGAAGTCTCTAAATTTATGAGTTAAAGTAATAAATTCATTAATTATTAAAGATTATTCTTAAAAGGAAGCAAAAGTTTAAATGAGATTTCATAATAAATTTTTTGATAAACTAAAATAATTTGATACAGATTAATTAAAATTCTTTTAAGAATTTACATTAACAAGTGTTCAAGATGATAAATACTTTTTAAAAAGAGGAAAGACAACTAGATCATTATAATAACATTAATAGGCTGGATTTTAATTACCTAATATAATTAAGGTTTAAGTGAAGGATAAAGATAATATGATAAAAAAAACCAAATATTTGATACCAAAAGAATAAGCTGAATCTTTAGGTTTAAAACATTATTTAGGTCATGCTAAAAATTTACCATTTAGTGATTAAGGTTTGGCTATTAGTAAAAGTTCACTTGAATTAAATAAACTTTAAGATAAAATAAGGGAAATATAAATGATAAAAGAGAGAATGGATTTAGAGAAAATTAAAAGAGTTAGAGAAGATATTTAAGTGATTATGTGTACATATTATGGTAAAGGAAAAGAAGAAAAAGATCGTTTGATTGATTTTGTTGAAACTCTAAAGAAAAGAGAATAGTAATTAGAATCTTTAGAGGAGACATCCCAATAAATAAGATCACCTGCAATTCAAATTGTAACTGACAAAAATGATTTCTTATCTGAAAATTAAAGAAAGATTAAATAAGATAAAGAGAAAAAAGAATAAGAGATTTTATAAACAAAAAAAGACTTTTTAGAAGTAAATAGTGATTTAGCCTTTTCTGTATTTAGAAGAGATTATGTATCTGAACGTAATAGTGAATATTGATTTTATATTTTAATTTTTTGTAAATGGCTTCACATCTAATTCGGTATGTATAAATAATTCTATTCATAGTAAAGATTATGAAACTGGTAAATTCTTTCTTATCAATAATATGAATGGTACCACATAAGAGATTACAAAAACAGGGGAATTCATTAAAAAATTTAGTTTAGATTATACTGGCAAACTAGGATATAAAAGTAGAATTCAATAATCAGATCCATGTCATTATCCATGTAATATAGAATCATTGTCTTAATTTCCTGCATTTTATATACCTCAACCAGATAAATTTGATGGTTATGCTCAATTGCCTCGTACTTTACAAAAACCTTTTTATAATAATAATAAAAGATAGAGATCTGATGCTACAATTGAAAGTACTATAGAATTAGTAAAATAATAATCATTTAATAAAAAATATTAAATAGATAAACCTATTAAACATATAACAGGAACTCTAAATGATTTTAATTTTGTTTAAAATTTGAAGAAAATTAAAGTACTTGAACATCGAAAAAGTACTAAATAAAGAAACTTTACTAATCATATCAATAGTGTCAAAGTAATAAATAAAGAAGAAATACAAGCACCAAATCTCACATTACTTAGAAGGAGCAGAATTAAATCTTAATTATTACCTAAAACTCTACCTTTTTGTAATAACAATTCTAGAGAACCATCTGAAATTAGAAATATTGTTCCTTTAGAAGATAAAGAAATTCAAAGTATAAATCAATTCCAATAATATTAATCTGAACATAAGGAAAGTGAAATACTGTATGAGTCTAGAACATTCGTTAAATCATAAAGCTAATCTAAAGTGACAAGAAATGATTTGCATAATTCTCATCTTACATTAAATTACTTTAAGGAAAAAGCAGACATTGCTTAAAAAGAAGAAAATGCATATATAATACCATAATAAAAAGAAAAACTTTCAATCTCTTCAAAAGGAAGGTTTAGTACTATTAAAACTAAAAGTAATGGAGATTAATATGTTACAGATCGAATTATAATGAAATTATGTATTATTGTTAAATATTATATTAGTTTAGCCAGACCTATTTAAATGATATAAATATATTTTTAATCATTAATCATCTTCTCCTTATTTCTTAGGTCCTTAAATAACAATTAATAAAAGGTCTTTGTCTGGTGCAATGAGGATTTCATTTTGCTTTGATTTTATACGTAAAAATGCTAAATCATTTGTTGGGTCTAAGTCACGTACCAAAGATCTAGCTTTTTAAGCTAAAATTGGTATAGATTTAGCTATAGTGTCACCTTATTTTACAATCAAATATAACAGTTACCTTCTTCCTTTTTTTCATTCAGATATGTTGTTCTTGTAATTGTACCTTCATGATTTACAATTACTATGCCTTAAACTGATTTGTGATTTTTTATTCTGTTTATTGTGTCCTCGATGTCGACGTCTGACATTTTATTATAATTTATATTAATTATCTTTATATTTGATTAATAAATATATAAATAAAATAAAGAAAACTTCAATTCTTCCATCTACTCAATCGATGCTTATCTTATTTAATATATATATAATTAACTAAATCATTTTAATATTTTGTATTAATTTTGATAATCATTTTTGAGATTTTATTGATAAAGCTAATTTAATGTAAAAAGAATTTCATTAAATTTTATAATATTCAAAATGATTAGTATAATCTTTGAAGATTGTAATCAAAATAGACTTAAGATATATTATTATCATATTTTAAATGATGTTTTAAATAAAGAAACATCATTAATATTGATATTTTTATTATTGTTTATGAATAATAGACTATCCATATTATAATTTTTGTCTTATTAACAATATTCAATTAGTAATAACAAATAATAATAACTAATCTCTCATTTTCCATTTTTCTATTTCAAATTAAACATAAATTCTAATTTATTAAGTTTAAGATGAATATCTAATTTAAAAAACAATTTCCTTAAAATAATATCTTATTGTCTTCTTTTTAATCTTATTGTATCATCATTGACACTCTTTGAATGTGGTTAATTTTTTATTTATCTTTAAACTTTCAAAGGAGATACCTCAGTTTTTTTACTGATTGGCCCTACACTATTGGTTCGTAGAGAAGGTGGTATTTAAGAGGAAGAAGAAACTTTTATTAATTGTGGTTCTTTAAGTATTTTTTAATTAGATTTCTGGTTTACATTAATCATATCAAGAACCTAAGCAACAGGAGTACGCTTTGTTGTATTTTCAAAAAGTGTTTAATCAATGTGATACATGGCATTACTTAGATCTAAAGGTTCAAATTTATTGATTAATGGTGTTTAATTTTATTATATTTCTGGTACTACAACTTAAGAGTCAATCTATAACTATTTGAATCTATTAGTTTCATTACTTGAACCCCTTGCAGTGCTATTTCTTCTGCTTTTTAGAGGAGTATATATTTTTTCTGGCCTAACTGCATTACAATTTAAAGGTTGAATTCTTAAACGAGATAATGATTATTTTTATTCAGAGATATTAGGTATAATTTTAACATCAAAACTAGGCTGTCTTACATCAGCATTTTAATTAATCTTAGTCAAGACTTTCTATTCACTTAATTAGAGTGAATATTTTTTGCTTGATGAAATATTGTTATCTTTAATAGGAGATTTTTATTTTATAGGAGAATGCTTATGAGATGCAGATTATAGATTTTAATCTATATTAACAACTTACATAACTCGATCTTCAATATCTTCTTATGAAATATCTTGAGAAAAAGTAACTAAGTTTTTATGTAATTTACTATTTGTTTTTGGAGGTGATAATTTTTTGTCTAATATTTTTGGATGGTTTTCTATTAAAATGTTTTTTATTTCTAATAAGTTATAATCTAATTATCCATTTGAATCTGATATCATTTTGTTTTCTTAATCTTATTTCTTGAACATATTCATTTTTGAAGGACTTCTTTTTATTGGTTATATATGAATTTAATCGAAAATTGACATAATATTTTAAATCTTACTATTTTCTGATTGTTTTTTATCTGTTTATAAAATCTGCATAAAACTATCATGCTATTAATCTATAAAATCACTATTATTTTAATAATCAATAATAGATTATTGATCCATTATCTCTACAGCATTTTTTTATTGTTAATTTTACATTTATTCAGGCTTTAAGAATGACCTAATCTTTTTTGTTTATGTAATCTAATGATGAGATATTAATTCACTTGGATTTGATTATGGAATATTTTCATTTTCTTCTTCTTTTTATGTCTATGATTTGAGAATTTAATCTATTGTTTTTTCTGGTTTTAACTATAATTTACTTAAAAAATTATTCAAAGAAGATTGAATTGGAGGTAATTGTAATTCTGATAAATTTACTTGTGGGAATTTTATTTTATTTTCCAAAGATTATGTAGGAGAATGAATATCTTTGGAAGAAAACTATAATTTTTAATTTTCCTAATTGTTTGATACTTGCTTAAAATCATTATCAAATAAATCATTAATTTAAAGTGTTTATCTTTAAAAAAATCTTCCTTTCTCTAATTCTTATTAACAAATACTTTATTCAACTGAACTTTCCTCGTCCAATGTATACAAGCTATTGTTTTATGTTTTAAATCTTGTTTGATCATAGATTTCTTTAATTGATTACAATTTTTGTCTTATTATATTTTATTAAGAATAAATATTTTCTTAATGAATTTCTTTGATCTTTTGAAAATCTTCAAAATTATCGGTTTATTACTAAACGTTTTGTTGATTACATGATATCAAAATTTAATCAAATTATTTTTTTTATTATTCCAATAATTTTGAAGGTTACTTAATTTCTTAAAAACATTATTTGGGCATATTAATTGAATTTAATTATTATTATTCTGATGGATTAGTTTATTATTATTATAATAATTATTATTATTATAATAATTATTATTATTCTATCTTTTACTCATTTTATAATTTTTATTATAATTCATTATTCTAATTATTCAATCCTTATTCAATTAATTACTCTTCCTATTTTTATTCTTTTAAATTATATTATTTTTATTAGATTTAATCTACTAATTTATCTGATTTATTTGAATTGTTTAATTATTAAGTTTCTTGTTTTTATATTTTATCATTTAAATTAAATTTTGAAATTTCAAGTGGAGCTAAAATATCAGAACTTTATTTTAAACTATTTTTGAAATTAAAATTTGAGTCTATTTGTAAACACTTTTATTCTTATAAATTAATTTATTTATCTTATTTATTTTGTTTTTCAATAAGAATATTATTATTTTATTATTGATGTTTTTATACTTATTAAGAAATATCATCTTTTCTATCAATTCTATCAGTTTATCGATTACTTGCATCTGATCTATCTGTTCTTTCTCCTCTAAGAAATTTGCTTTATCTAACTTCTTGAGCTTTCCTTTTGGAAGGTGGATCCCATTAATCAAATAATTATTATTTCAAATTTTAAAAAGTACTTCTACAGAAAGTTCTTTCAAGGATAGAAATAGATTAATCATTCTAATTTTTATTTGAGATTTATTATATAGATGCACAACAATATTATGAATATTGATTTGAAAATATAAATTTGACCTCTTAAAATTCTTTCTTTTTACAATTAATTTATATTTCATGACCATAATTCATTTTTTTAAATATTGTCTAATTAACAAAAAATTAATGATTTTAAAAATCATCCAGATTCCATTACAAAATATATTTACCTTAGATTCCAAAAATAAATCTATTACTTGCTTAAATATCTTCAAGATTTGATGTTTTGAGTTTAATCATTTTAGTATTATAACAATAAGCATCACCATTTTCTGTAATAGCAATACCTCCAAATTAGAATAATAATGACTTCTTAAAATATCCATTAATCTCTAAACCATTTAATTATTAAATGGGAATTTGAGTATTATTCTCTATATTAAAAATCTTTCCTCCAACTTAATTAATCAAATAAAATTATACTTGTAATCAATGTCATTTTGTCTTGATATGTACTAATATGTTTACAATGAGAATAAATAGGTTTATTATCTTTCCAAAAAAATCCTCTTCCAGAGTGATCAATAGCAGTTGTAGGGGTGATGCTCATGTAGTTCTTTGATGATATTAACAATTTAGGTTATTAATCAATTTAATATAGGTCACCATTTGCTTAAAAATTGAGATAATTTTATACTTTGTAAACAAAACAAAGTTTTACCATCAGAACATATCTATGACACATTTTATAAAACATTTATAGTCTCAGATTCATTATATAATGCAATTTGATTATCTGTTACTACAAGTCTTTTTAAGTTACAATTTTCTATGTAATATATAGAGACTCCTAACTTAATTACTTAAGTAAATCTAAATCTAAGTAATTAGATATTCTAAAGTATTTAATAATAAGTATACATCCAACTAATCGAATATAACAGACATATTTTATATACGTTAATATTATAATTTATCAAACCAATAAATCAAACAACTCTTTTGAATCATTTACAACTTCATATTATAAATGCATTTTAGTCATGTTCTCCATAACCTTTTTTATATTCTCCTTTTTAGCTACTTCTATAGCCACCAAACATGGTCCCCTTTCTCTATTAGCTTTTTTCTAAAATTGAATATGACTAATTTCATCATCTGGTCCTAAACATCTAATATTAGTATTTATAATTACAAACTAACAAAGCTCTTTAGAATACCAGGTCTGAATGGAATTTAAATCAAAAAGAAGTATTTCAATCCTTCAAATAATTAAGAATGCTCTTTAAATTCATCAAATCTTGAAAGATCCACTGTTCCTCCTGATATTAAACAGACAACATTTTTATCCTTTATTTCTGATGCATATTAATCCAATACAGAAACTGCCAAAGCCTTAAAAATATATAAAATAATATTACTCCTGCTGGTTCTACTGCTATTCCTTAGTTATATAATTCAAGAATGGTTGAACTTACTTTTCCTTCAGGTACTACTGCTAAACCATCTAGATTATGTTAACAAATATCAAATGTGATTTTAGGAACTGTTTTTACAGCAGATCCATCACAGAATCTAGACATACTTTCTATTGTCACAATTTAGTTTGCATCGAATGATGCTTTCATAGATGCTGCTCCATCTGGTTAAACCCCAATAATCTTAGTATTTGGAGACAGTGCTTTAAAGTAAGTTGCTATTCCAGCTGCCAATGCTCCTGCTCCAACTGGCACAAAAACGTAATCAACCTCTCCTGGAAAATCTTCTATTATTTCTATGCCCTTTAAAATAAATGAAGTATATAATACAATTGTTGCATTTCCTATAATTGCTTTAACATTATCACATGGATGTATCATTATTCTATCATACTATTTTATATATTCTTAAGCTGCAGCTTCAGCTTCATCAAATGATTCTCCAACACTTCTTATTTCAACATAATCCTTCCCATACTTCTAAATTATTTCTATTTTCCATTAGAAACATACTTCAGGTAAAAAAACAGTTCCTAATCATAAATATAATTGATGTACCTTTTATTTTGAAATGATTGCAAAAGAAAGCAAATGCTTCTGCAAAATTACCATCACTAACAGTGACTAAACCTTTTGTTTTCTGTTCTTGGGTTAAACTCATAAAAGAATTGAAGGCACCTCTCATCTTAAATACTCTAATTTGTTATTGATCTTCTCTTTTCAGATGAATATTGCTATGATATTTTTCAGATAATTTCAAAGATCTCTGCAACTTTGTTCTAAAATTTAAAGTGCTGTCCTTTTAAAGACGATGAGCCTATGTTATCATAGGAATTGTTATTGATGACATTTATGATATATTATTTAATTGATTTTAATAAGATATTCACAAAATTATTTATGTTTATTTATTTCTGCACTAATTTTGCAAACATATCAAATTACTAAATTTTTAAGATTTGTTTTCTAGATTTATACCATCCTTTAATAATTATTCAATCAATTTAATATTATAAATAAATAATCCTTTCTCAAATTTGTTATATTTAATTATGTGAAAACACGAGACCAATCAATTTGCTTCCTTAATAAACCCTTTCATCAAATATCTTACCATATCAGAATAATTATTATATACATTGTATAAATTCTTACTTTTATAAATTTTCTGATTTAGGATAATAATACTATAGTATTATTATTATTATACAATATATTTTATAATAATTTTTCAGTCTCATAATCAAGTAGGTTATCTATTATTTTATATAAATATTTCAAATTCTTATATTTATTCTTAATAAATTCAACATATTTATTTATTAAAATAAAAATGTAATACCCTAATTATTTTTTCAAACCTTCCAATGATGTTTATATAAAGAGAAAATAGGCAGCAATGAAAATGAATTTCGGAAAGAATAGTAATTTAAATTAGGTGATTATATAGTTTGGGCTGCTATTTCAATAGCATTCTCATGTTACTATCTTTTTGGTTTGTATAGAGATTGGTTAATTGAATTACCTTTTTGGTAGAAATGGAGATAAGAGAAAATTACTGCTAAAGAATCATACGAGTTTGTAATTTAAGGATTTCATCCAATAAGAAAGACTTTAATATAATAGTTTAGTTAATTTTGAGTATATTAAAATTTAGAAAAAGGGTTATTATAATCAATATTAATTCTTTAAAAATAGTTCTTTCTCTTCTACTGTCAATCAACTTTTCCTTATTCTTCTAGACTCATTATTTTTTAATCTATTTCTACATATATAGTATTCATTTGAAACCTCATAGATATAATGATTTAATTCAAGTAAGCTAACATAGCTAAGTTAATATGAATTCCTTTTCTTTTGCTTATTTTAAGGTCTATTTTCAATTTAATTCTTTTTTATTTATAGATTTGTATTTTTTTTATTAAAATACATGAATAAATAATTTCACTATTTTCATTATTGAATCTCTCTTTGTTTTAACCTGATTTTTAGTAATTATCACTTTTTAATCAAATATGTTTATTTGATATATTAAAATGTTAAAATAAATTACATTTACATAAATATAAAATAATCAAAATAATTTCTATTTTTTTCTTTGTTCCTATTCATTTTATACAGATTTAAATTATTTGTTAGTTGGATCAATTGCATATTCTGGTTTTGTATGTATAGCTTCAAATCTAAATTTATATTAAACATTTTTTTACCTTTTATCATTAGGATTAAATCCAATTTTTGGTTTTTTATCATCTTCAACTAATAATTTTAATTATGCTTATTCAAATCTCTTTTATTTTAATTCTTATTTTTTTAATTTCTTTCTTTCTAAATATTTTAAATGTTCTTTTGGTCTTCCTTCATTATCATCATCATCTTATTCTTATTCTTAAAATCCAACAAAAAAATCATCAATTCTTCCTTCCTTAGGTACATGAATTTTTTTTGACTTTTAACCCATTCTTTCAATAATAGAATTTTAACCATCTGGATTGAATCCACTTTAAAATGTAATTTTTAGATTACTCTTAGATTCTAATTATAAAAATTATTAATACTTTTTTTAAATGAATTTCTCCAATCCTCTTCTTCATCATTTTTATTTTCTTAAACTTAATTTAATAGATCTTTAACATCTTCTTTAATTTTTTCCTCATCTTCACTTTCATAATTTCCAACAATATCTTCAAAATCTTCTTTATTAAAATTTTTAATATTTTTATTCCAAAAATTTGTTCTAGGCTTACTATCTTCCCAAGTTAATTTTACATCTGTATGTCCAACAGCTCTATTGATAATATTGTTAGATGTAATATGAGATGGTAAAGTATTACATTCCTATTTGAGATTATCTTTTGGTAATACTACATCATCAGGAATGAATCTCAAATCAATTTTTATATTAGTTAATTCAAATTCCTTTCCATTAATTTATTAATATATTTAATCTGCTGTTTTATTTGAATCACATTCAATAACTGCATAATAGTATTTAAGTCTATCTTTTTCATATTATCTTAATTTTATAGGATCTACATCTAAATCTTCTTCATGTCCTTTTACAATTAATTCATTTACTGCACTAACTTCATCTTTTTATTTTTTTGGTCTAATTAATTAAATTAAAATAATTACACATAATTCTCTTTGAATATTTGTCTAGGTCCAAATTCATTTTCTTCAGCCAATTTTTATTTTCCATATTCACTAACATATACTTATACTTATTATATAGATGAGCCTGTAGGTGCAAATGAAGAAAAAAGGACGAATAAATCTTTAGCCTTAATTTATTACCAATCATAATTTTATAATGCCAATCTTTTTGTAGCTTATAAAATAATTGGTGCATTCTTTTAATCTAAGTCTTCATCTTCCCAATTATCAACACCTGATGATATAGAAATATCTTCTTCAGAATTAAGTTCTTCTTCATTTTGATCAGATTCATCTTATGATTTTTCTTTAGAGTCTTCTTATTAATCTTATTCTAATGATTAATCTTCATTTTAATTTCCTTCATCTTCTTCTTATTGAATTACTTATTCTTCCTCTTCATCTTCCAATTCATAATGATCTTTAAATTCTGAATTGTATTTTCTCTTATTTCCATATATATCAAATTTAGGTTTTGTAGAAAACTTTGGGTCCTTTAGAATGGAACTGAATTTTTTGTTTAGTTTAGTTTTGAGTTGTTTTTTTGGTAATGATTTAAATCTGGGATCTTTCTTTATACGTGCAAACCTTGGATCGTCCATAAATTAAATAATTTAATTAATTTCTTAAGTATTTAATTCTTTTTAGCAATATTAATTATAATTAGTTTGTAATACATTCCCTTTCTTTATTTATATATTTTAATATCTAATAGATAGATAATATTGTATATATATCAATTCAAATTATAAATTATTGTAATTTTTATGTTTAAATATATATGTTTAAATTATTTAAGTTTCTATTAGAAGATGAATAGATGTTGTATCTATTTTTTATAATTTGAAATATTATTAATTAAGTTGTTTTATTTTGAGTAGAAATATAATAAAATGAGAAGAATGAAAAAAGTTTTATAAAGTGAATATTCCATAATACTCAAATGAAATGTAATTTCATTAAATTATATTTAAAATGTTAAAATTATCACAATTTATAATTAATGTATATAGATATCTTTTAATTAATATACTAAATATAAAAATAATCTATTTTATTATGAAAGTATATATCTTATTCTTGAATTAATTGTTAAAATATATAGAATCTAAATTGAAAGGTGTTTAAAGTAAAATTTAATAAAATTGATGATGTTTAAGAATTGAAATTAATTTACATATTTGTTTTCATATACAATCGCAAGTTGGAATTGATTAAATTGGTAAATTAAAATATTTTTTTCAAAATAAATATTAAGTTCTTAAGATTGAAGAAGATAAAATCAGCTTTGAATTATTGCATCTTATTAAAGAAACAACATTTATTTATTATTTAGATTGCAAAACAATTCCTAATTTATTTTCATTAAATATATTTTTCTAATCATAGTTAACTAAATTCAATGATTCAAATCAAAGGTCCTAAGCTAAACTTTAATATGCCTATTAAAATATAAGACTTGATGGAAGAAAAACCATATTCATAATTTGATCTTGAAAGCACAGACTGCTTCAGGAATTAAAAAATTTCTAAATATGTAAAATTTGCCCCAACAACTACTATTTTTCTGAGATACTAAGATGAAGATATCTATAGATTCAGAGATAGACTTAAAACATAAGTATAAATAACAAAAGAGACATTTAATCTTAACCCAACACTTGAGGATTCCCCAAAAAAATAACAACTTAAATCATGCATGAAAATTGCTATCGATTCAGATTATTGAAGTCTTGATTAAATAATATCTTTTGCTTTACTTAATACTTTTTATTAAAATATTCTTTTATTCACTATATTTTAAGTATTTCTTCAATATTATTTTGGACAGTAAAAAAATTATAATTGATAGAAAACTAATTATATTTCTAATTCTTACGATCTATTTTAACATAATTAAATATTATTTCTAAAATTTCAACCATACATTATTATTTTTAAATTTACTCTTACTCAACGACAAAAGCATACTATATTTTGATAATAAATATAGAAATTGTTATTTTAACAAATTAAATGATTAATTAAATTTTCTGTTTGTATTACAAATCTTATTAATGAATAAGACAAAACAATAAAATTTAATGACAAATATGTATAAAACCATTCTATATTATAAAAATAAATTATTTAAAAGTCCCTTAATTGTAATTATAGTGACCTAACTATATCATATTAGTTTCAAGCTATTTATTATATGTGTTAAGAAACTTAAATTAATATTTAAATTTTCTTTTCCTATTTTTCATTATTATTTTATTAGAAACCATATATTTTTTGATTGAAATATTACTCAACACTCTAAGAAATAATTATTAATATCTTTTAATTTAATCTAAAATAATTTATAAAATAAATGATTCTGAGAAGAAATCTTTTATTAATTTTTCATTTGATTTATAATTTATATAGATAATAATATTTTCATTATCTACTTCAAATTCAATCATATTTATAGATAATTATATTTTGAAAAATAAAAAGTATAATTTTGATAAATTGATCATAAATTAAAGAATTATTTTGATTTAAATTTAGTTAGTAAATGGAAGAATTTGTATAAATTAGTGTATACTTGAATCATAAATTAGATAGTAAATAAATAGAGAGAAGAGAATTTCTAATATTTGAATTCTGATTCTGTTATAATGTAAGAATTTAAATTCAAAAAAGAAATTGTGTTTAGAATTGTAAAAAGATTGCAATATATTATATTATTCATTTTTTCTAACAAATAATAAATGAATTTATGTATCATAAAAATGTTAAAAGTTTCTCTCTCTTATATTAAGTGAATTGATAAGTTTGCATAATTCCTAAAATAACTAAAATTGCAAAAAGTAAAACCATTATTCTGTAATAATTTTTGTAATTTAATTGATCCTCCAATGGATTATGGTAATTGTTAACTTATTATTAAGATTAATTTCCTTAGTTCATTTTTTTTATAGTTAATTTATTTAATAAATATTTTTTTTATGTATTTATATATTTATTAATTAATATGTAAACTCCTTTTAGAAAACAACCTAAAAGCGTAAAATAAATTATCAAAGAATTAATACTTAAAGAAATGGAAAAAGAGGGATAAAATAAAATAAATATAGTTGTAATTCCTACTAGAATTGGATAATCATGTTGGGGTACTAGTAATTTAAGAAGAATATCTCCTTCAAATTACTAAAGAATTGATTAAGGCACAATATTTACTCCTATAAACTGTACTCAAATCTCTCCAATTAATTACAATTAAGGTACTCCATTAAACTGCAAATCTAAATATAGGTCAAAGTATTAAAATTTATTAAAAATGACAAATTAATAACCGAACTAATGTAAGAAAAAGTAGGAGATATAATATAAAACTGAGCCTCGTTAAAAATCTTTTTCTCTACATACTGCAAAGCATATTCATTAAAGATTACCCTCTTTGCCTAGAAAAATAAATTATTTTGCTGAAGAGGCTAAAAGTTTATAAATTAAATTAACAGATACATTAGAAGGATATCAGGTTCAATAAGATGATATGTCTTTTGAGATTGATGAATATGTTAAAATGAAATATATTAAATAGATAAATTATTAAGAAAATTGAAGAAGATGTATATTCTTTAATTAGAGTGCTTTTAAAATTTAAAAGTGTGTTTTTTGGAAAAATTATTTATACAAAATTATGAACAAAATTAAAAGAAAGCTTTTCTCAATGGAAGCCATCTTAGATTCTAGAACTATAAATGATTAACTTTATTTTTTAGTAAAATGGGCAGGTTATCCAATCTCATAATCAACATGGGAAAAAGCAGACAAAGTACCAGCTGATTCAAATATGATTTCAGAGTATAAAATGAGTGTTCAAATGCTTGGAAAATCATTTTATTTTGATCCATTAGATTAACCTCCTTAAATTGAAGATTTTGTAGATGTCCCACCTTAAAAAAGTGAACTCTCAACATTTAATACAAAACTATGTGAATTTTAACATTAAATCAATACACTTAGAGATGATGTTAGATTTATACTATAATCATAATTAAAACTCATAAAAGAGTTAAAAATGTCAAAAAATGTTATTCATCATTATGATTTATTAAAATCACCTGCCTCTTAAGATAAATAATAATCTATTTAATCTGAAATGATTTAATAGAGTGCTTTAATTAATTATGATGGTTCTTTTGAATAAGGTGATAAAGTTGAAAAAATTGGTAGAGCTGTTTAAATTAAAAAAAGTAAAACTAAAATGTATTATATTTTATGGAAAAGAAGAAATAATGGTATAATATTATTATAATAATTAGGTTAAATTCCAAAAAATTCATGGGTAGAAAGTGAAAAAATTATTGAAAATGATCCTGTTAAAGTTTGTCAATATTTATGGAATAAATTAATTTGAATGAATATTTAATAGAATATTTAATTTAAGATAAAGTATTAATCAATTATGTTTACCTTTTGTATTAAAATCTTTAACATTAATTTCTGTTGTAAATGTTTTTTAACTTTTAGGACTGCTCATTTATTTTTTTTGATTTTCCAAAAGCTATTATTAGTATATAATTTTATCTTATTATTATTTAATCTAATTTATAATTTATATTTTTACTATAAGATTAAGTTTATTAATTTCTTAAGATTAAGAAGGGTTGCTATTTTCTTTAATATTTATTTCTAAAATATTACATCTAAATAAAAAATATCAATAATACTTCTATTTTAATATTTCATTCTCTTATATAAGTTAATCTAAAAGTTATCTATTTTATTATGAACTATTCTCATAACATTTGTTCTTCCATAATTCTATTTCGTTTAATCTATTTTTTAACATTACTGTTAATTTATCTATTTTATTTTATTATTCTAAATATTATTTCTATGCATTATGTTCTGAAATTGAATATTATTAAAACTATTCTTTAATACTATTATAATTTTATAATAATTATTGATATTAAATTTCTGTATTTTATGAATTTTATAAGTTTTATTCAAGAAGATTTATAGTTTTTCGTTATTAAGAAATTTGTGTTGTTTAATGCTCAACTAAATTTTATAGATCCTTCTCTTATTATTCTAATTAATTAATTTTCCAAGAATATTAATTCATTTAAGAAGATGTCTATTGTGTTTCTTAAATTTTAGATTCTAATTAAGATGTCACATTTTATAATTCAAGAATCTTTTATTAATATTAGTTTTAAAGCTATTATTTTTCTATCTATTCCTATTTTAATTATTAAATTAATTATTCTTAAGAAATATTGAACTCTTCTTTACTTTTATTTATTTTTTCTAATAATACTTTATTTTCTTCTTAAAATTGTAACAATTCTTTTTTATATGCTTCTAATTATTAAGTTAAATCATTTTGAATATTAATTAAATATTAATTTTCTTTAAAATGTCTATTACATTCTTCTTCATAATATTTATTTTATTCTTCTAAACTTTTTATAACTTCATTTAATCTTATCATTTATTATTTTATTTAAATTATTTCTAATTTCTATTATTTTGAAGATGGATCATCAACTATATCTCCTGTTTATGTAGAATTTATCATCTAAAATTTTCTTAATTATTCCCTTAATTAATTGTTTTCTATATTTGTTTATTCAACAAGTAAATTATATTTATTTTTTTGAGATTTTAATTGATTAATTTCATTAATTAAATTTGCATTCTCCTATTATTTCTCTCTTAATTAACTTTATGTTAATTATATTTAATAAAGATGCTGTGTTTCCAACTCTTCAATCTTTAATCCATAATGCAATTCAAGTTAACTTATTTTTGATTAACATTCTTATATTTATTGTGTCTTTAATTTTATACAAATATTTTGTTTCTCAATCTCTTAAATAAGTGCTCCTATTTGCTTTTGTTTATTTTAATATTTCTACCTAGTCAGCATTTTTTATATTTGGTTATCCATTGAATCCTTACTTATTATCAATACTCAATTCATTTGGACTTCGAATAGGTGAAATAGACTGAGAATGATGAGGAGAATTCACTTATTTCAGAGTAGGCTACAAATGTCCAGTTTCATATTATTTGCTTTATTCTGTTCGAAGTGTCCTTTAAGATTTATTATTTTAAAATAGATTATCCTGTTGCTTCGACATTATTTTTTAAATAAATTCTAAAATTTATTATAAATAAAAAAAGAAGAATTATTTTATTATTATTAGATCATATCAAGACAATTAGTAAATAATTTTCTTAATAATTTTTATGTTCTTTTCATTATTTAAAGTCCTTGTTTTTTTGCATTCTAATTCTATTTACTCAATAAAAAGGAAAAACATTTTAATATAGGAAAAGTGTATTTTAAATAAATAACAAATGTTATAAAATCAAAAATTTTGTTAGTCATATTTAATTAGAAATTCATTCTAATTTTAAACTTCTTCTAAATGCTAAACATCTTTCCACTTAATCATATAGTTTTTATCCTCCACATTCCATGACTGCATTAATCATATCAGCAATATTTTATTTACCATTTAGAACAGCCTTCTCTAATTATACAATTTAATGTTCTAGGGAATTGCATCTTTGATCACTTAATTTAACTATTCTCTAATTAAAATAATATTAAATATAATTACTTTAGTTATTTCTAATTCTTTTTAATAACTCTCAAGTCTAATTTAGTCTTTCTTGGAATTAAGTACTTAATATTATATTTAATCTTTACTTAATTATTGATTTTCTTTTTAGATAATTTATAATTAATTGGAATATTCCTATACCAATTTATGTAATTCTTATTGTGAAAATTAATTTAATCTAGAGGTAAATTGTATATTATTTTTACTTTCCATCATTTTTTAATAAATTATCAATTTAATTTTTACATGTCTATGCCCTTCCTTTTTCATCATTAACTTAATAGATAGTTTCTACACAAATACTTGTATTATACTATAATTTATCTCTGTTTGTACTAAAATCTTCCTTTTAAAAACAAATACAATATTATTTATTAATTTATGTATTCTTTTGTGTTTCAAGATAGTTTTAGAGTTAAATCTTATCTTTTTATAATTCATTATAATTATTTTTAATTTTATTTAATTCTTCATTTAATTTCAATATTTCTTGATTATATTTTTATTATTATGAATCTTTCTCATTTTTTAATATATCATTTTCTTTTAGAAGTATTTCATTTTCTTTTTTAAGTATTTCTGATTCTTTTTTTATTTACTAAAATTCTTTACTGTGTTTATCAGGTAAATTATATAATTCATTAATAAATGAGTTACTAAAATTACTATTGAAACTTTAAATCTACATTTTTTTATAATCTGATTAAAGTGCAGCATATGTTTCTGATAATAAATTAAAAGCAGCTTCAGATTTTTTTATTTATTCTTATAACTTATCATTTTATTGTTTCATTTATTTATTCTTATATTATAAAATCTGATTTTAAATTTATAAAGAATTCTCATCCTATTCTCCATTTTCTAATTATCTACAAGATAATAACAATGCTTATTCATTTTAAGTTGGTCTAGAATTGAAATTATCAAATTAATCTAATTTTTTAGGATTAGCTTTAGGTTTTGTTGAACCTCTCATTATTTCTTCATGATTTTATACATTTTTTGTCCTTTTTTTGCCTGGAACTACAAATTTATTTTCTCTCTAACCTATAGGTCCATCTATATCAGATTTCTCCTCTTTAGATTTTTATTATTATATACTAAGTTTTTAAACTCTTACAGTTTATTATCTTTTAGTATTTACATCACCTTCATTTAATTTATCAATTTCTGAATATTTTAAGTGATTTTCAAAATTGTTTTGTTATTCAGAATATTTCTTTAAAGTGTCTTCTCTATTATGAATCAAATTTTCTCCTCTTTCTTATATTGGGGAATGTTAGCATTCTCTCTTTTATCTAAGCCACTCTTCACTTTTTTTAATTTCTTAGTTAATTTTACTAAATTCGATATATAATTTTTACCATCTATTGTTTCCAAGTCTTTTATATTCACTTTAATTTAATTAGTTCCATGCCAATCCTACTTAAATATAAGCTTCTTGATCATATCTATTATGAATAGGAATTTTATCAATAACCAATGGTAAATTATTTTCAATATAAAAACCTAGATTGAGAATTGCTTCTCCATAACATACTTTGCAATCTTAGAACATTATTTTTAACTAGATAAGATATATTTAATTTACATATCTGTTTTCAGTATAATAAAAATCAAACTAAACAACTTCATTAATATCTTAAACACTAGAACATTGACTCAATATTTTAGACGTCAAAATTTTAGATTCATTCACTAATAATAAGATTTATAAATTACCATCAAGAATGATTATTTTGCATTATTCTGAATATTTTTCAATAAAGAACTACAAAGATTATACTTCGATTTCTAGATGAAGCATAAGCCGTAATAAATTATTATTATTATTTATTAAATTATTACATTAATAACTTCTGAGTAAATAAACAGGCCATATATATGGATTAATCAATCATTTTTTATGATTCCAGAAAATTTTACTGATTACTTTAATGTAACATAAACATATTCCTTCAAATAATCAAATTGATTTGTAATTTATTATTTAAAGATTTACTTGAAAAACCGCCATTGTCATCATTCTATGTTTTTTATATTCTCTAAATTTCTAAGATTCTAAAATCCATAAATATATTATCATAATTTCATTAATTATAATCTATCTAAATGTAACTAATACTTTAATAAATAATAGAATCTTCACTAATTTCACAAAAATAGGATTTAAAACATTCAAAAATATTGAATTATTAGATATAATTATTTAACATATATTTTTTAGAGAGGTCAAACACAATTTAAACTAATAACATTTAAGAATTTTATATGAAGCTTACTTGAATAATTATCTAAATTGTAAAGATATATGTAAAAAAATACAATTGATTTAAAAAAAACTGTATTAAATATGATATAAATATTATATATAAGTCTAAAAATTTATATCTTGTAGAAAAAGATAGTGATATGATGTAAAAACTAAATATACCATTTGACAGTTAAGGTATTTTTGTAATTAATTTTGTAAATTAGTATATATATATATATATACTAATTTTATAAAAGTAAATATTCAATCATCTAAATTTGGAAATTGTAATACTCCAGGATCTCTTACAATTTAATCTAATTTAATCTTTTTGACTTGATTAATAATGGGAGTAACATCCCTTGATTTTTAATTTTTTGGATATGTTTGCTTATTATAAAAATCAATAATCTCTTATTTTTTTAATTATTTTGATTTGTTTAGATTTCCCATAAGTTTTGCAAATAAAGATGTTAATTATTAAATGAGATCATCTCCTTTTGAATTATTAAATTATTTTTCGAATTATTTTTCATCAAAATTTTGAGATTTCTATAACAATTAATCTGCATATTCTGTTATTCTTTGAAGAGGCTTAATATATCTTACCATATAAAAAACACAAAAAATAATATATATGATTGGAATAGATAAAGCTATAGGAATTAATTATTTATTGAAACTATCAATTTTCTGGTAATATTTTATTTTCTAAAATTCAACTTCTTCATTGGCCAAGAAAGTTGGTTAAAAACTATTTAGGTGAAATCAAAATATACATTCCGAAATAGAGTCCTTAATAATTACAATATGCTAATATAAATTCTTAATTTGAAAGATCTCCTTAATATAGTTCAAAGTATGAGAAAACACTTGTTGATTCAAATAGAAATTATGAAATATTAATTTTCTTTAATTTTGAATCATCTGTATTCATTGTTTTTAGTAATTATTAAAATTCCTCTATATTTATCTTATATTCTTATTCTTCATAATAGAGAATATCATTTTCTTATGAAAACAAAAATAAAGTATAATTGTATTGATTGTTAATGGCTATTTAATAAAATAATATATATAACAAAAATGGTTTTCTTTCACAAAAGATCAAACCAATTTATTTATTATTTATATCCATTATTGGTAATACTTCTCTTTACAAAATCTAATTCAAAACTGGGTCATAAGTATATTCTAAAGGAATATGAGAGAGATTTCTTCTACTATTATACATTTATAATCGATATTCATTAAATTTTTTAATGTCAGTTACATTCACACCTGGATATTGCATTAAGAATCCATCATCAAATATCCAAATAAAATTTGATCCCAAAGTTTAATAATTATAATACATTATATTATTGATGGATAAATATGTTCTAATTTTATTCTCAGATATTTATTAATCTTTTAAAAGTGAATAAGTAGCAATATTAAGAGTATATTAATCTATAATACCTCCATTAGTAACATAATTTTTAGATGAATTTGGTATTTAATTATCGATTTTATATAGAATATCTTTATATCTTAATGATTCCGATTAAATTAGACTTAAAGTAACATTTATAAGTTGGATATCATTCTCTTAAGTTTTAATCAATATTTAAACAAAATCTATTGTGATCTCACAAATTTATTTTTATAATAGCTATGATACATTGTTCTTAGTCCATTATTATACAGTATTAAATAATATATTCTCTCCTATTTATTAGACTCCTACAAATAAAGATAAAGATGTAAAGGCAATAATAATTTATGCAATTGTAACTTATATTTTTAATGGCCATCTGGAAGGTATTGGTAAGAAAAATATTGATCCAATTCTTTCATTTTAAAATAAATCACTATGACCAAATCCAATATATGATTTTATTTTTTCAAGACAAGTCTCTTTTATCTAATATAATTATGATAATTACATCTTTTTTCTTAGTCTCATCCTTAATAATTTATTATTCTGGGAATGTAGAAGTTTAAGATTCTTTTGGGTTCATTTCTTATTCTTCTTCATTTTGAATTGAATCACTAGAATTATCATCTTCTTTTGAGGATTCACTTTGAAATTATTCTTGCTCATTTCTTTCAGAAAGTATTGCTTCATCTTAATCATTTGAAAAAAGCTCAATATTTTACATAAAATTAGAATATAATACTAATTGTAAGAAATGTTATTTTCATAATCTTTTAGGTATTTTTTTATTTCATTTTCGAATTAACAATAAAATTTTTCACAAAAAAACTAAAATGTCAATAGAAAAACAATAAAATGTATATATATTAGTATTTCTTATCCATTATATTTTAATATGAAAATAAAAGATAAAAAATATTAGAATAATTAAACTAGAATATCATATGTATCATTTCTTTTTTTTCTGTACTCCAATTTTTTTTATCCAATCTTATGGGAGATTTAAGACTATTTTTTATGAATCATCTATTTCAGATGTATATTGTTTTATTTTTTCTTCAAATATTCGTATTTCTTCATTTACTAAAGAACAAAATTTAGTTTATTTTGATGAATTTTTTGAATCAGAAATTTATTTTGATTTTTCAACTTGAGATTTTGGTTAAGTTTCATTGTTTTTTGGTTTTTACTTTTTCTTTTTTTTAGTTTCTTTAATAGTTGGACTACTAGTAGAAGTGGATTGTGTAGAACTCACAAGTCTAAAATTGGTTTCATTATTTATAAATATTTTGGAATGCTAACTTTTTGAGAACCAAATATACATTTGAACAATTTGTATTTATCTCAAGAATTTATTTGAAAGAATTCTTATCAATATTGTTATTAGAGATCTAAGACATTAATCGAATTATTTAATTATCATTATCACTACTATCACTAAAATCATAATAACCTTAAAATTTATGGATAACATTTTATGTGTCATTACCTATCCATGTTAAATTATAATAATTACAAGTTTAAAATATTATATTATCATCTTTTATTGATATAATTAAGTCTTTTGGTTTATTTTTACATATGCATTTCATTTTATTTTTTAATAATAATTATTATTTAAAACCACTTAAATTATTCTTATAGTATTAATATTTAACTTATCTTCTATTCTAATATTCAAAAGTGAAACTATGAAATAAGAAAATAAAAAATTGAAAGTTAATTATTAATTTTTTAGTTTAATATTAAATTTTACTCATTTCAAAATGGGCAATGCCTGTACATGTTAATGTTAAACTAAACCAAATGATGAAAATGAAATCAATACAAATTAAAAACAATAAAGTTAATCAAAATTAACAGCTAAACCTGATAATGCTTAAAATTAAGACCCTGATGTATAAAAAGGAAATAAACTATTAGGGTAAAGAAAAGATCAGTAATCAATTAAAGGATGAAGATGTAGCTCAAATGGCAGGGGCACGAAACAATTCTATTGATGATAGTTCTTCTCCAAAACTTATGAAAAGAGAAAATGGTAATATGTTTTGAGAAGTTTAGATGATAACAAACCTGAAGATCAATATATTGCATAGGTTTAAGCTACGAAAAATAAAACAACAAGAACTAAGTTAGGAGCTATTGAAATGAAAAATGGAGGTGTCTATGAGGGGGAATGGAAAAATGCTATGAGAGATGGTTCAGGAAAATATGTATGGCCAGATAGAAGCTTTTATGAAGGAGAATGGGTAGAAGATAAAGCAAATGGATTTGGAAAATTAGGTAATTCTTTTGTTATACTTAAATAGTTCATGTTGATGGTGATATTTATGAAGGTCAATGGTTAGATGATATGGCAAATGGCAGAGGTGTTTATATTCATAGTGGTATGTTTTATTAATACATTCAAGGAGGTGCTAGATATGAAGGAGAATGGAAAAATGATTTATAACATGGATAAGGAGTGGAAGTATGGCCAGATGGAGCCAAATATGAAGTAAACTTTCAATTCTCGATATATATTAGGGTAGATATGAAAATGGTAAAAAACATGGATAAGGAACTTTGACTTTTGCTGATGGCAGTTATTATAAAGGGGATTTTGTTGAAAATGATATAACTGGATATGGAGAATATTATTGGAAAGATGGTAAATCATATAAAGGACAATGGAATAATAGTAAAATGAATGGTAAAGGTGTTACCTAATGGGCTGATGGCAAAAAATATGAAGGTGATTATAAAGATGATAAGAAACATGGATTTGGCATTTTTTAATGGGAAAATGGTAGAAAATATGAAGGACATTGGATTAATGGAAAATAACATGGAAAAGGTATGATCACACTACCTAATGGAGAAAAAAAAGAAGGTATTTGGGAAAATGGAAAAAGAATTAAGTGGTTAAATGCTGATGAATCACCAAATGGCTGATATATTAAATTCTTATTTTAAATCATATCTACTTAATGTTAAAATAGAATATCCAATTTTATATGTACTCTATTAATTTAAAAAATGTTATTTTTAATATAAATAATATTATGAATTATCTAAAAAGTCTAAAAAATTATATGAAATTCTGGAGTATGATTAATAATTTTAGTTTATATTTGTAGTTCTAAATAATTAA